TCCATCCAGTAGATAGTTAGTTTTACTTGTATCTCTCGGTATTTATGCAATCAGTTAGCCAAAGAGAGAAACGAAGGAAGAAAAGATTCACTTAGAAAAACAATCACAATGATTATAAGAGCTTTAGATCAGATTATCTACATACAAGAGGATCAAACAAAATATATTTTAATTTTCAGTAGAAAAAAACATCCTTATTTATGTTATCAGAAATTAGGGAATCGGTAAAGTTACCCGAGTAATAAGGATTTTATCACTGATGCATACAAATCCCGTGTATTTTTCATATTTTATCGTTGAGATAACTTTGGGAAAGATAGGGTTTTAGAACTATTGATAAATGTAGGTCTTAGCTTTGACAAAAGAAAAAAGCTACCTATCTACTACTACTGTCCTTTCGAGTATATGACTTGATTTACAAACCACACTACGAAGAAACATGGTTCAGAACTCAATAAAAGTGAAGAAATAATGAAACGCATTTCCTTCACCTTCCATGAACTGTCTTCAGATTGTAACTGCAACAACTGTAGAATCATTGGACGTGGTTCTGACAGTTCCTTTTAAATCTCTGATGCATGGAGTAGTGATTATTTATCCGGAGAATGTTAAGTTAGAAAGATAGTCTCGATTTTACTAGATTTTATTGATTTCACTTCATTTGATTTTTACCTATGCATTTGAGTTTAAGCGATCATAGTCTTTCTTTTCTTCTACTGTACTTAAATCAGTCTCTTAGCAACAGTATGGGACCCGAAAATACTGCACAATGGTTAAGCCTGTTGTATTTCATATCTGCACATCAAGGTTCAAGGCAGTAAGATGAAAGATATTGATATAGGAAAGAGGTATGTAATCAAAGCTCGAAGAAAGTTTTGAATAGAAGAGGAGAATGGGAAAAACAAAGGGTGAAATTCGTAATGACGATTAGTTTGAGCTGCTGAGGTGGATTCTGAACCATGTCACCAAGAGTTTCCTACCACGAATTTCGGTTGTCACATAGGTTTCAACTTGGATGTCTGGACTTTTATACATATCTGAGAGTCAAAGTCAGAGACTGACGCCACGTCTCAGTCGGGTAAACTACAACCTTTCTCAACCGAAACCTACTTCAATTAATATTGCGTGACGGCATGGATGCTGAACAGGCATGTATTTTATGTCAGTAGATGTCAAGCAGATAAAACAAGTAAAAGTACTTATCACTGTCCTTCATAAAGTGTATATAGATTTCCAAATAGGCTATTCACTAGTGTTTTCCGTTTGGAGTGTATTTTACAAGTAATGCATTCTGAGGTTTATGGTTATTTGATTTATTCTAATGTAGCATTCAGTACTGTTGAGGAGTTCCATTTTAGAGGGAAACAGATGTCCAGTGCTTCCAGGTTTCCAATGGTTCTCCAGCTGATGCCAATCCATGGTGAATACAATCTTGAAGTACCAATAAAAACTTATTTTATTCCTGCATAAATAACCACAATCAAATCACAGAACTACTGCATGCTTGTGTATTCCTGCCTATAAAAATATCTTAGGTAAGTCGAGTAACTGAGTGCTTTACCATTGATAATCAAAAGGTTAATCTGAACATATCTCTCCTCTGAAGCCTTTAAGACTAATAGATTCATAATTGCCATTGTGGCAACAAAAACAAAGAAATTCTTTGAAGACAAATCTTTTGAACAAATTGATTTTCGAGCTGTACATTCGCATATGTATATGATATTTGAAGATTGGGATTCTTTAGGATACACTAATTTAGATAAAGGATGGTGAAAATATGAATCATGATGGCTGTAGTTATAATAATATAGTCAACTAGAGAAGCAGGAATCAAATCATAGCAAAAAGGGTTACGCAAGACTTTCAGATAGTTCATTGAGTGCATACAGCTTACAAAAGAGAGGGGAAACTAAGCGAATCTAATCAGCAGACAAAAAATTAGTTAATTTGGATGCCTTTTTGTTAAGATTTGCAGTCATTGTACAGATTCCGATAAGGTGAGGTAAACCAAAGACTATTAAATATAACAACAACATTGATAATAATGAGAAACAAGTGCAAAGAATAATTCAATAGAATTGGAAAGCCAGAAAAAAGAACGTTTTAATCTAAGTTAAACTTATGAAAGATCTTAAGGTCTTACATAACCTATTTTTGCTAAGATTTAGCTGCAACGTCTCTGACTAACAACATTTTTATAAGAATAAAGATCATGATTCATATTTCCACCGTCCATTATCTTTGCAAGAACTGGCGTGGAATCATGCTCCATCTCTCTCCACCACAAGCAAAATATTAAACTACATCATCCTGGAGAGACTAAAGCATACGCTGGATTCAAAACTACAACCAGAACAGGCTGGCTGGCTGGCTGGCTGAATTCGAGAAGTACAAATCATGTGCAAACCAAATTACAACCCCACACTACGCATCATCATAGAACAGAGTACAGAATGGCAGTCAACCATCTAAATCAACTTCATCCACTTTGAGAAGGCCTTTGACAGCATCGACCCAGAAGTAATTTGACAGTTTCTTCAACACTACGGAATACCGCAAACCTTCATCAACATCATTCAACAACTATATGAAGATGCCACATGACAAGTAATTCACAATGGGAGGCTCAGTGGTGCTTTTGAAGTGAAGACAGGAGTGAAACAAGACTGCCATCTACTATCAACCATGATATTCCTGATTGTAGTCGACTCGACTGGATCATGCAAGAGATAACAGTGGTGAGCGAGAAGAGTGGGATACGCTGGAACGGGGAAAAGAACCTAGAAGATTTGGATTTCGCCAATGATTTGTGTTTAGTGTCTTGTGGCACAAACTTGAAGATCCAGATCTACAGGCGAAAACTAACAAGTTGGCAGAAGGGGCAGGGCAGCAAAGATGGGACTTCAAGTGAATATAGAGGAGACAGAGTTGGTGAAGATACCCAACCAACAACAACAACAACAAGCTCCAATCACCATCAATGGGAGAAACTTAAGGGAAGTAGCCTATCTAGGAAGCACTGTCTCAACTACAGGCGGTGGCACAGAAGAGGACATCAAAGCCATCCAGGATCGGAAGAGCGAGACAGGCGTTCATTAACCTGAAATCAGTGTGGAGGTCTACTGCACTCCACTCAGCATAACGCATGAACAAGATCCGGATTTTCAACACTGTCAAACTCTTCTGCGCTTAACATAAAGAACAAGATCCGAATTTCCAACACCAACGTCAAAGCAGTGCTCCTGTATAGTTTAGAGACTTGGCACGTTACGAAAGGGATTTCCAACAAACTACAGACATCCATCAACAACAGCTGCTACCCACGCTGGCTCGTCACTGGAGATCAGATAGCCAGGATAATAAGAATAAGCAACAAGGAACTCTGGCTGGCTGTCAACGAACCAATCAAGAAGCTATCGCTCAACAAATATGCCCTTGAAGGAAGTGGAGATGGATTGGATTGTGCATACACTGAGAAGGCCGACTAGGGACATCACACGTCAGGCCAGGCCGTGGAGTGGAACCCAGATGGGAAGCGACAGGTTGTTCGTCCGAGGTGAGGGTGACATGGAGGAGATGATGTGAGGAGGAAATGAGAGGTTGTGGGCTGTTATGGAGACAGGTCCAAAGGATTTCAGAGAACAGAATGGAATGGAGACATTCTACTGAAGGCCTATGTCCCATTAGGAACCCAAGGGAAAAATAATATAATAATCATAAAATTATCAAAATCAGTGTCCTCAAAAACCCCATTGTTTGTCATATATATGCGAATGTATAGCCCAAGAATAAATTTGTTGAAAAAGGTTGTCTCCGCCTAACTGCTTATTTCTAAAACGAATTAACAAAAAAGAAAGGCCGAAACAAAGACAACTTGAATGCTGTTCATTTTCTTCGCAAATGAGTGGCTCCGTCTCACTGTTTAGCAAACAAACGTCTGAAATACCTTATATGCATACTTTGAGACGTATATTTTTTCGTTATTACTAACGTAGAGTAGATCAACAAACTGATATATTTATTTTAACTTATCCCTTGGTTTTCCAGTGGAACATACGGCTTCAGTAGCATGTCTGCATTCCACTCTGTTCTCTGCAGTCTTTTCATCTTGGCTCCAACGACTGCCCAGAAGCTTTCATTTCTTCCTCATATGATCTCCTCCATGTCACCCTCAACTCGGACGAACAACCTGTTGCTTCTCATTTGGGTTCCACTCCACGGCCTGGCCTGACGCGTGATGTCTCCAGTCAGCCTTCTCAGTGCATGCCCAATCCATCTCCACTTCCTTCCGCATATTTATTGAGCGATAGGTTCTTGGTTCGTTCGTTCCCAGAGTTCCTTGTTGCTGATTCTTTTTGGCCATCTGATCTCCAGTATCAAAGCAGAGTAAGTGGCAGCTGTTGATGTATATCTGCGGTTTGTTGGAAATGCTTTTCGTAACGTGCCAAGTATCTGAACCATCACAGGACTGACTTGACTGACTTAGTGTTGAAAATCCGGATATTGTTCACGCTTTATGCTGAATGCAGAAGATATCCACACTGATTTCAGGTTAATGAAGGCCTATCTTGCTTTTCCGATCCTGGCTTTGACATCAACGTATTGACTCAGTATTCTAAAACTCATTAACGTTTTCAGAAGTATCAAATATCATTTAGTATACATCACTCGAATAATGGATTGGATAAAATGAATTAGGATTAACTATAATCATTTTTCATTTTAGTAGTATTCTGAATCACATGGACAACCAGTTTGTTACTGGCATTCATGAAAACAAGAACAGTTTTCCTTTACAAGTCGAACTTTTAGTACAGTGATTCTCAGTGAACTGATTAGAAGATCATCTGAAACAATTTTTTTTGAAATAAACTCGTTCTTACTGATATCCATAGTTTGGAAAAATATCTAGTAAAGTGTTTATGTCTTGCGACCACTTACTCAGGGGTTAATGAAAAAGAAACCAATACAAATATATTTTTTGTTTATAAACTTACCTCTTTTTGGGGAATTAGTACTATCACCTTTTTTTCCTTTAGCAGTATTTTTCTCTTCTTTACCACCATCAATCTCCTAAAAGTGTGAAGAAAAATGGTTAAAATTGATAACATTTATTACCAGTTTAACAGTTATCTGTGAATAAATTATTTTTGAAAACTATCTGTTAAACAGATAAGTTTCGTCATATAAATTCAAAAGATTTTTTAATCGCCATGAAAAAATGATCAATTTTATGGTTGACATGATGTACAATAGACGAATAAATGTTTGAGTGAACCTTTATGACAAAAGAAGGAATTCCGTATCGATGGAGGTTGGTAAATATATATTAACGTTCTTATAGTATTTTACTCGACAAAATTGATAATCTAAGAAGATTTAAGATATTCACTAGAAACAAAATGAATCTGAACAACTGTTGAACATTAACCTCAATATTTCAGATTATCTAGGCACAAAAAGGAAATTACACATAAACTTATGTCACACACGAGTCTGTAACGTTTATGATAACAATAACGATCTGATTCCACTATCATATCAATTGAACAACTTAACCATCACCTAGCTATCAACTATAGAAACACTTAGGAACAATCTTTAGTCCTTAGAAATGAAAGAAATTATTTGCTACAGATACTTGGTATGATGCATACTTCAGTAAATCTCCAAGATTGTCAGTTGTCTGCGCTAATTATTATACCAGTCTGCTAAAGGTTTTAGTTAGTTCTATTAGACCATACACTTTTTAACATTACTGCCGAAATCAAGGTGAGCTTACACTCTGTAGGAACCGCAAGATACGAGAATAAGTTGGACTAATAATTTATGAGACCTTTCTGTAATTTAAAAACTATAACTTATTGTCGATATGATTTTAAAATAGACAAAGATGTATGAGAGGAGAGTGAAGTTGAAACGTAAGGTTACTCAAGACATTCAAGCTATAGAAGACATCAAGGAGTCAGTATATCTGCACCATTGCACCTGATTTTCAGTTATTTCATTGAATTTCCAGCCATTTATTCCTATCACCTTAGGAACCCCATCCAGGTAGTCTACATCTCCCTACACGACTAAGACCGGCAGTCAGGGACATTTTGCACTGGTGCCACATCTTAGTCTGACCACCTTGAACTTTCTCCCAACTTGATTTAACTTCCCTTGGAGTTGCACGTCGAGGTATGTAGTGGTCTCGACATGAGCAACATATATCCAAGTAACCTCAGTCACCAAAGGTTCACAGCCTTATTGACTGAATTGCTTACCTTTCCTTGTACCCTACACCTAACCTCTACATTGCTTACATGGCGATTCCACCATAGGCAATCTATGCTACGAAGACGTCTGTGATAAAAAAAAATAGTATGGTTGTAGATACTGTTGGTGCTAAAAATATGACAGCGTTGTTATAGATTGCTTACACAGTGTAGCACTGAGAGATATGACTTTGAATGCAATTTCCAAACAAGACTAGCTGTTGCAATTTTGCTTCCGACATAACGCTACAAATTCTTATTCACGAACAAAAGGTTGACTATAATGTAGTTTGTTATCATCTAATTAGGTCTTCAAACAAATTTAATTGAGACATTAAGTTGGTTTTTGAATTGTATACGAATTGGTCAGCAACAGGTGTGCAATGTAGCTTAGTACTCAGCACTTACGAATGCCTGTCAATCAAGCTTTCCCACTGGACTACTAAACCACGCAAAGCGCCACTGAAGTGCACTGTATTTTAGTGTTATATGGTGGGTGCCAAACGGCAGAAAGCCCTAGACCTATCCATAATGCTTGTTAACACTAAGTGAATAGTTTCAATAAAAGAGAATCAACTCATACTTTATTATGTGGATATTTATGCAGTCTAAGTGATCACAAGGTTACATTAATCAATCATTCATTGACGACCTTGACCAATGTCGAGTTTGGAATTTCAAAACTACAGGATATACGTCAGGTTTATTGGAATCAAACACGACAGTTAGTATAAAAAGTATTTGTGCTTCATACAACGAAGTTACATCATAAAAATTATTACTTCTTCCTTTGATAATTGCATAGTTTGGTAATGTGTTCTGTCAATATATCTACCATCAGATGAAAACATTAGTGTAGTACTTGTTAGTTTTTATTGACAGAAGTATTAATCTATGGTTAGGATTACCTTTATTGGTTGGTCACTGGAGAGGAACCAATATCATTTTCTCTAGTACTGAGTGTTGATCGAATTTTCTCGATCATTCTGCAATGTGACCACCAAGGTATGAGGCTCAGCATCGCGGTGCACATTGATAAATTTTAGTTAATGACTCTCTCGTGACTAATCAGTGTGCCCAATCCAGTTCTACAGGATGTCAATCACGGCTTGAATAGTTCAGTGGTAACGTCGCTGACTGCGACACTGGGTAACACGGGTTCGAGTCTCAGAGAATATACAGATTCATTTGAGGTTGCAGACAAGTCGAGGTGACTACTGTCAACAAATATGAGCAGAGTTTTCCTACCGATTACCTTCAACCAACTTACGTCGAGGATAACCTTCGAGTTTACCACTAAGATAAAGTGAAATTTCAGGTATTATTACAATACTTCATTAGAAAAAGTGTTTTTTGTTTTCTTAGGCTTGACTGAATAAGTCCAGTTTTTCTCTGGATAATTTATCATTGCTTGTTTTTAGTGTGATCCCTGGTGGGGTCATGGGTACACACTACTGGGAAATCCCATACTAGAATGATACGGCTGTCCAGTTCTTCACCCAGGTTTTCAATGGTTCTCAAACTGATATCAGTCCATGATAAATTTCAACCTAAAATCAATTCATAAACTTTCATAAACCTCCAGATAGAATACTTGAGTAAGTTGATTCAAAAATAAAAATTGCTTATGTGTACAGTCTTAAGAAACAAGAAAATCGACAGCCCTACAATTTCCGTGTTGTTAATTGTATGACTGAAATAACTGAAACCAATAGTCTTTACTAAGTGAAAAAGTGCCCCTTCAAATAGATTTTGAGATAAGTTAGCAGCCTGCACTAAATATTTTTATCATTTAAAACTATTCATCTCAGTTAACCATATGATTCTCTATATATTAATTTATGAAAGCTTTTAGTAACTTGGCACTCTTTCATCATAAGTTTCATTTTGCTGTTTGAGCGATTAGTCATAGGTCTATTCTGTGAACCATTCATGGGTTTAAAGTAATCGTCTAAAGAGCTGATTAATGCCTGAAGGATTTACTATTTACATTTTCATCTACGGTGTTCTACAGATATGCTTAGGTAATGAATTGAAATATATTCCCGTTCTATTTTAGTTACATCGAACTGTTGAGTTTTGCAACTTGATTTCGTATTTCTGATTTGATAAGACTAGAATTTTAAGATCCATGTATGAAGACCAAATATTGTACTTCGTACTATCATACGATCCAGTAATTGCAAACAGATCATAACCACTTCAATCACTTGTCAATAAACACCTGTATTGAAAGTAGCATGATTACAGTGACCTTTTTAAATAACAACCAACAGGACTGCGACACCGATCATTCCAGCATACAGGAGGGATAATAAGTTGAAATATTATGACTGACGAATTCATGTACCTTATGTGAATTAAATTTCTCCTTCAAACCTATCAAGCCTACTGGCTAAGCATATCCAATCACTACAGTATATATATATATATATATATATATATATATATATATATATATATATATATATATATGGTCTCTTTTCGCTTTAACTGTCACCCTATATCACATATGTGAAGCGATAACTTCTTCCTCATAAAACTTTCAGATGCACATTCTCGTAAAGTCAAACAAACAAAAGTTTTATTTCAAAAAATCCGTTACATAGTCGAATCACTTTCTTTAGGTACACTGTTCTGTTTGACGACGGATATACAGATATCCACTTTTTCTTGAATAAGTAGTGATTAGGTCTTTTATATGTAGCTCCCTGTTGTCACGTGTTATATTTTTGTAGTGACTATTTGATACAGTCTGAGTTATATATATGTGAACATTTTTACAATAACCTTGAAATGTCACCCTTAGTGGCCTCTTAGTTCCTCCGTAACGGAAAAAACGGTAGTATAACAGATATCAACAGGCAGCTATATACAAAAGTGGTGACGGTTAAAAAACGTCAGCCCCTCCTACTGAAGACATTCAGGCATTTTTGAAACACTACAAGGAAAGAACAGAAGCAGCACCACTGAGGATTATTCAGAAATTCAATAAAATGCTATATGATATCCAGGCAGAATCTACATCCATAAGTACTCATATTTTGAAAAAGACTCAGCGAATGCTACAATGATGAACATGGTAAAGATAAAATGAGTTTAAGGAGCCTAGTGACATGGATCATGTTACAGTGATCAATGATGATAATAATATCTTTATTACCCATCAAGTGATAATAAATGAAGCGGACGTTCGATCAGATCATGTTAATTAAAAACGAGAACTACTTGAAGGTTTTTAAATGACGTAACATTTTTAGTGCCACCCAGCCTTTCTACAACTATACCTCCCAATGGATGTCCATGAGAAGTTCTTAACGAGTACCAGTGCGAACTGATTCATCAACGTCAACAGTTACACCATTACCCAAAGGGGTTCGGAGCCTTTCCACACAAATCAAACGAGATAGTTGCTTTACATGATATGGTTTACTGTATCAAAAACAATCTATGTTCATACGAAAAAATGGACATCAGGATCATCTGCAAGCCCAGCTCCACTTCACATCCACCAACCAGCAGGTAACTTGAGAACCCCGAACCCACCCAAACCGACAGGTCACAGTGCATCAAGTGGCCATAAGCAAGTCATCGGGGTGGTGTATTATGGTGTTGACTACGGCAATTTATCGCACAGAGGAGTACCTTATCATTCAGACTAACTACACCTAGATTACTCTAGCTCAAATGGACGCAAGATCTAAGGCTATCATCTGAAAAACCATGGTTTTCTGGAGAACAGGACCAAAGGTATACCAAGCACTGTCTGCTCAAAAATGCCTCAGTGAATTCGGTTTACTGAGGTTGCTAAATTAATGTAACCATTTCACTGTTCAAAGTCTCATGACAACGCTTAACTCCAAACAACTGATTTGGAATTGAGAATTCAGCGCCGTACAATATTGGAATCCCACATTTAAACCCATGGGAAATGTTTTTGTGTATACTTATCAGTCTACGTTTTTGAAGCAGGGAGGAGAAGGTTAATCGAATACTCTCCTCCCAAGTACGAGCAAATCGTTCCGCACGTTACCAGCTTCAATTCCTGTACTTCGGGCTACGCCACAATACAGATTCATCAGAAGAATAATACTGAAAAATTTATCACGCTCCCGCAAAAAGTTACGAGTTAATCAAAAGATAACACTGTACTATGGATCTCCATATCAAGAGAGAGATGTCATAATGTGTAGAAAAATTGATGAAATCTTCATAAGAAGTTGCATATGACTGAAACCTTTTCCGGTCAGCCGTTTGGCTCTGAAGTTTTGGAAAAAACACATGAATCAACATGAAGGTATCAGGTTGGTTGATAAAATGAAAAATCAACAAGATTGAAATATGGTAGACCTGGAAATAGCCTGGGCCAGTGTAAATATATATATAAACTGTTATATGTTGCATATATTGTTGACGTTGAAAATACACCTTCGGTTGTATTATCGCCTTTCTCATCACGAAGAAACTGAACGACCGATAAAGGTGGGATCTGAAGCCTTTTGTTTAAACGTCCACCTTTATATAGCTAAGGTTATCTGAAGTAACTTCAAGAATATAGCAAGTGACAACAGCGGTATATAAAAAGTGTACACACAGGAGCTATAAAAAAGATCTCTCAGGAAACAGGAATACGAAGTAACAAAGAGTAAACCGATATCCTGTTGGACTTCAGATGAGGTCTAACGGAGCCTCTGATTTTACAGTTTAGGCTACCTAATTGATTGAATAATTTTTTTCATTCCCAAAGTGCTTTGGGAAGTATTTTGGTAAATTAGTCTATTCTGAAGTGAAAAACAGAACACGTGAAGGTATTTTTACTGAGGTTTTCAAAAGCTATACAAACGACCTGATAATCAAAGACGAGTAGATAGGGACGGACTTATTCAACGATTCAGTGTACTGAAGTTGTAAATAAATGAATACACTGCTATTCTCCAATCACATACCCTTAAATTAGCCGAACTAAATTTACTTAATGGAATTTGCAAGAAAATCTAATAAACATTTGATATGAGAAAGCTGAGATACTTGTGAAATATGTTTATAGGAATCAAAGAAGTAGAGAAGGAATTTCGTAATCTGTATCCAGGGAGAATTTCCAACTATGCATAAAAATTTTAAAATGTATGATGTTTATAAGCATCTTTAATTTGCTACTTCTTTTAGCAAAGAAGTAGCTGTTTGTGTATCTAATGTTTACATTTTAAGTACTAGGAACAAAAACGTTATTGTTTAAATAACAGATATTATATTATAGATTTCATAAATTCATTGTTCTTTTAACTTCTCAGTATACTTTCAAATCTTATAAAATTTTGTTTGCCTAATCAAAATTGTAGTTTCATAGTAAGAAACTTATTTAACTCAAAACCTGGATATCCTGACTGACTGATTCGACAAAGTTTGATTAATATGGGGAATCAAATAAGAATGCAAATATTGATAACACAAGTAAATGAACAAAGATCAACTTAATACTGTAAAATCCTAACAAAAGCTTCTTTCTAAAGATATATGAAAGATAAAGCCTAGAATGTTATCTGAATCTCAGCAATTGAAAACTCAAACGTGAAGAACAATAAAACTATCCTAGCATCCACAAGTTTTACTGTAAATATTTAACACCACCTGAAAACACTGCTTCTTCTGATAAATTGTTCATAGAAGGCTCTTTATACTTTATATGATTAAAAGAATAAGAGATTGTGAATTGAAGAATAAAATTTGTTTAAATCACCTTAGGGTTACGACCTCGGACAGATTTTTCCCGTTTCTTAGCACCAGTACCGCCTTGATTATTATCTTTTGAAGTGTCTCGTGTACCAGGCGAAACTTTAGATTTACGATGTCCATGTGGACTCTATAACAAAAATACATGGTAAACAGAGATAAGCAAGGATAATAACTGATTATTTTTATGCACACTGAAAAAAAATGATAAAAAGAGATTGATCTGTTGGGAAAACTACCCCAATAATTAACCTTTTTCATCTATTTCACTTCATGTTGACACTGGTTGGTAGTAGGAAACTTTTACCGGTTCCTAGATGCAACAAACAACTGTTACAAAGTAGAGCAGTAACCCATAGCCAATAAGTCCGAATTTGTTTGTCTTTATTTTTCTGAGATCATTCTGGTTTATTTCATGAAGAACGCTGTATAATATAAACGATGTGTTCATTTTAACTATTATTTCATCCACCCTACAGGTTTCATCAGTTCTTTATAAAAGTCTCCTCTTTTCATGAAAATAATATCAAGAAGAATCAAAAGCTCGCCAAGGTTTAATTCATTATTAACCTGTCAACCAAATATAAAAGAAATAATTAACATAAGCCTATATGCCAATAGAGACCCACTCAACAACAGTATGAACCACGCCTGGTTAACTAGTTCACTAGTTACTAGCCGGTCCTAAGCCCGGGTAATGAGGGAAGTTTAGGCATACGGCCAGCAACCTACCCCGGAAAACAAATCCAACCCCTAAAGAAGCTTCAAAGCACAAACAAAATATGAAACACAAAAACAAAGTTATTCCTCGCTGGAATCACAGAGACGAAATGATGCCGGTTGGTGAAAGCCTTCGGGAAGCCGATTGGCCGATGTATCTTCTCTCCCTCCATGCGGACATGGAATGTCCGCACCATGTTTGAACCCAGCGAGGTTGCCCAGACTGCAAACGAGATGAGAAGGTATCACATTGAAGTGCTAGGAATCTGCGAAAGCAGATGGAATAGAAGTAGACTCTCCAAACTGTCAACTGGAGAGTCAATAATCTACTCCGATATTGTCACCCAGACGACAACCACGAGCACACTTAAGAAGTGGCTTTCATCATTTCCCCAAGAGCATCATAAGCTCTCCTATAGTGGGAACCAATCTCCTCCTCCAGGATCATAACAGCAATGTTCAACTCAAAAGGAAGGAAAGTCACAATCGTACAATGCTACGCACCTACAAATAATGCAGATGAAGAAAAGAAGGAGGAATTCTACAGACAGCTGCAATCAACACCAAACAGGACCTCAGTTGGCGATATCAAAATTCTAATGGGTGGGGTGACATGAATGCCAAACTGGGAGCGGACAACACAGGGAGAGAACTAACCATGGGTCGAGAAGCTCTAGGTGAGGTGATGAATGGAAATGGAGAATTGTTTGCAGATTTCTGTGCATTCAACGATTTGGTGATTGGAGGCCAAGCAGTGTGTTCAAGCACAAGGATATCCACAAAGCGACATGGATTTGATTTCACCAGACACCAAGACACACTAAAAATCAGATTGACTTCATCTCAATGTGCAGAAAGTGGAGATGCAGTCTACTTGACACAAAGTCAAGAAGAGGAGCAGATGTAGGTACAGACGACTCACTATTTAGTGCAAAGAACCATCCAAATCAAGTTGAAAGCCTTCGAAGAAGCTGGTGATATACAACAGTTCAAGTACAACCCTCGGAAACTGAAGGACAAAACTACAAAGGAAATCTTCACGTCAGCCAGCCAACAAGACAAAATTTGAGATATCGAGCAACATCCTTGAAGAAACCTGTGTGGAAGAACACTGGAAGTCTTTGGAAAAAGTGTGGAAAGAAACCTGCATAACCGTATTAGGAAGAAAGAAGAAAGAAGATAAGAAATGGATCTCTACGAATCTCGACATGGAAGCTGATAGAGGAGGGAGAGGAAGATGGTGATAGTGAAGTAGAAGATAAACCAGTGCAAGGATGAACGACAAGAAGAGGAATTGAGTACAACGTATAAAACACTGCGCTGGGCAAGGAAGTGAAGAAGAGTGCATGCAAAGACAAAAGACACTTCTACGACACACTGGCAAGTGAAGCAGAACAGGCTGCAGGTAGGAGAGATAGAGACCTGACAACATTGTATCAAATAATCAGGTTACTATCTGGGAAGAGATCAACACAGACGAAACCAATGAAAGATAGTGAAGGAAAGCTAGTTACCACCAAAGAGGAGAAACAAAGGAAACAATGGGCTGACCATTTCAAAAAGCTCTTGAATCGAACACCACCACCACCACCTGAAACTCATCGACAAATACCACCTGCAGCCCAGCCACAGAACTACAAGTGAACATAAATCCTCCAACAAAAGTGGAAGTCCTCAAAGCGCCATAAAGCTACTGAAATATTGAAAAGCAGCAGGATCAGATGGAATCCCACCAGAAGCACTGAAAACAGACGCAGAGACAACAGCAGACATGCTCACACCACTATTGCAGGCGGTGTGGAAGGAGGGGGAAGGTACCTGGCGATTGGAAGAAGGGTTACCTTGTCAAACTGCCAAAGAAGGGAAACCTCAGTGTTTGCAAGAAGTGGTGCGGAATCACGCTCCACCTCTCTCCACCACAAGCAAAATATTAAGCTACATCATCTTGGAGAGACTAAAGCATACGCTGGATTCAAAACTACGACCAGAACAGGCTGGCTGGCTGGCTGGCTGAATTCGAGAAGTACAAATCATGTGCGAACCAAATTACAACCCTACACTACACATCATCATAGAACAGAGTATAGAATGGTAGTCAACCCTCTAAATCAACTTCATCGACTTTGAGAAGGCCTTTGACAGCGTCGACCCAGAAGTAATTTGACAGTTTCTTCAACACTACGGAATACCGCAAACCTTCATCAACATCATTCAACAACTATATGAAGATGCCACATGACAAGTAATTCACAATGGGAGGCTCAGTGGTGCTTTTGAAGTGAAGACAGGAGTGAAACAAGACTGCCATCTACTATCAACCATGATATTCCTGATTGTAGTCGACTCGACTGGATCATGCAAGAGATAACAGTGGTGAGCGAGAAGAGTGGGATACGCTGCACCGCGGAAAGAAACCTAGAAGATTTGGATTTCGCCAATGATTTGTGTTTAGTGTCTTGTGGCACAAACTTGGAGATCCAGATCTACAGGCGAAAACTAACAAGTTGGCAGAAGGGGCAGGGCAGCAAAGATGGGACTTCAAGTGAATATAGAGAAGACAGAGGTGATGAAGATACCAGACCAATACCACCAACAACAACAAACTCCAAATACCATCAATGGGAGAAAGGTAAAGGAAGTAGCCTCCTTCACCTATCATCAAGGCAGCATCGTTTCAACTACAGGCAACACAGACGACGATGTCAAAGCAGCCAGGATCAGAAAAGCAAGATAGGCCTTCATTAACATGAAACCAGTGTGGAGATCTAATGCGCTCCACTCCACTCAGCATAAAGCGTGAACAACATCCAGATTTTCAACACCAACGTCAAAGCAGTGCTCCTGTATAGTTTAGAGACTTGGCACGTTACGAAAGGGATTTCCAACAAACTACAGTCATTCGTCAACAACAGCTGCTGTCCACGCTGGCTCGTCACTGGAGATCAGATTGCCAGGATAATAAGAATAAGCAACAAGGAACTCTGGCTGGCTGTCAACGAACCAATCAAGAAGCTATCGCTCAACAAATATGTCCTGGAAGGAAGTGGAGATGGATTGGGCATGCACTGAGAAGGCCGACTAGGGACATCACACGTCAGACCAGGCCGTGGAGTGGAACCCAGATAGGAAGCGACAGGTTGTTCGTCCGAGGTGAGGGTGACATGGAGGAGATGATGTGAGGAGGAAATGAGAGGTCGCGGGCTGTCGATTAGCCAGGTTCAAAAGATTTCAGAGAACAGAGTGGAATGGAGACATGCTACTGAAGCCGTATGTTCCATTAAGAACTCAAGGGACAAATAATGATGATAATAATAATAAACGACAGTATGATATAAAAACAATTGTACTAATAATCAACTTTAAGTTATTATTATGGAATTATGTCATCCAACATCCAGCTGACAAGTCCTAAATAGGACGAAATGATCATCCTGGATTTCACTACTAGCAACCATCCATCATTACTATAATTAGGTTATTTATTTAATCAACTAAGTGTATAATACAATCTGATCTTATGGTAAAATACTTATCGTTAAATGAACGCAAACCATTATTTTGATATCACACATCCAGTTAGGGTATCATCAATGTAACTTATATTATCTAACAGTAGAACAAGATCTAACCGTTACGCTAAAATGTAATCAAGGAAACACTTCCACACAGTATGGATTACTGATCAATGGTAACTAATATTTATTTGCACTTTTATATAAGGTTTTTTCCTGATTAATTCATACCACAATATTATAATGACATATATCTAAATATTTATCAGTATAAACCAAAAGGATAGTTCACAGGATTATATTTTCTTTAGACACAAATTCTATAAATAAGCCTGAATAAAAATTAAAGTGGTAAATTTCTGATATATGTTTAGGAAAAAAGTGGCTATAAAAACTGAATCTGTTTCATTTGCATAACATACTTCGAGAAAGGAATATTAAATAAAAGTTATTTACTTATGTGATAAGATTAGGAAAATTGATAATATGGCTACTTGTTATCAAAATTAAAGTTTAATTAGTATGATCACTACCATTGGACATTGTATAAAGTATTATTATGACGAATCAATTTGTGGGCTTTATTGAAAGTGATACTGGTGGGAAACTGAATTAGTGCACCCTCATACCAGTTGTGATGATTTATCTGTCCGTCTGATTGGTGAATGATGTCATAACCTTCATAAATTTCACACAAAAATTCATTTTTATCAAATAAAGTGCATTACAGTGAATATTGCAAGTGTTGGTGAACTACAGTTCTCTAGAGTATTGGATTTGTAGAAAAGCCTTTTTTGTGAGGCAGAAGATGTACTTTGAAGTGGATATCTCGTAGTTCTAATGCAAAACCGTGACTAGTAGGGTCAGTCAGTCGGAAATAAAGTGGATATCAATTTAT